TTTTTTTTCTATTTTTTAACCATAATTATTGGTTTCATTAGCTAGATACGAACAATTCGTGTTCCTATCATTTCTCTAAGGACAAATAGATGGATTGCCCACTACGATATGGCATTGATGTAGTTGGAGTCGAGGATCAAGATTGGTAACTCGTGTAATGTAGCAAATTCGAGACCTTATCGGCCTTCACAATAAGATGGGAGATTTCGTCGAATAGATTTGGCAAATGCTGCGACAACTTCTCCATAGTGATTTCCTTGAATCAATCCCACCACAAAAAAATTGTTGCCTTCCCGAATCACATGTTTCCCTTTAATTTTTCCGTTTACCATCAGACAACGGGTTGAGAATTGTCCACGTGAGTTGACCCAAAAAAAAAAAAAAAAAAAAAATTATCAGTTTAAATGTATCTTTAATTCCAGATAAGATGATCCTATGTACACAATAACATCAAATTGTAGGCAGCAAAATGATCAACTTATTACACATCAAATACTTGCTATTTTTGAATTTGGAATGAGAGGCTGCATCTAAAGCTAAACATCTGTCGAATGGTCCTTAAAAGCTTACACTTCAGCCTAAACTTTCTTCGAAGTAGTCTTCATGCACATTGTTAGCTAGCATCAGAGACACCAACCAGAAAAGGCTCGCGCTGAGGGACAAGAGTGCACCACCACCGAATAGACCAGTCTTAGCAGTTGGACAATTATAATCGAGATTGGAATGGATATTGTTTGTGTGGTGAAGTTGTTCTGTGATTGTAGGCCATAAGAGGAATGTCGCAGCCAAGCCTGTTGTAGCCCTGTGTGTTTTATCAGTAAAAAAAATTATGTCAACTGCTGATATGAATGGAAGACAGAGAGAATAACATGCTGATTCATAGTTGTTAACCATGGCTGAATATTTCAATTACTCGCCTAAAACATAGAGAAAAGTCTCCAATAGAAGTGTCGACTCACGTAAAGGGCGTGTGGGACACTAAATGGGTAGTATTATGACATGAACGGTTGATAAGAAAGATGCATAATGAAAAAAATAAACGAGAAATTGAAAGAACGGTGCTTACAATGCAACATTGAAGAATGAAGAGCACCAGCAGTTGGAGAAGAATTCAGCTTGTGGGATAGATTTCTCTTTGTATGGGTAAAACAAAGAGTAATATCCAGCAATTGTGGAGGCTGCAAGAAATGCAAATGAAATATATCCGAAAACAATTGATGGATCATATGGATATTTACAGATGACTACTCCTCTCCCAGTAATTGCTTCCCCAGAGGGCGGCTGCCGACACCAAAAAGATGAAATAATTAAGAATATTAGGGAGAAATCGTCACAACCATAATTTCATTCAACATTACGAAGGTGAGACTCGGATTTATATCAATATAGTCGTAACAATTGGTATCAGAACAGAAAACCTTCAGGGGCAACCTAGGGAGGACTACTAGATTGGTTCCTTGGAGCCATTCAAATGGAAATCTGGCCCATGTACATGTCGATTTCAAAAGGATAGGTACATTGTAATGACTCCCATTTCATCCCACACTGCTAAGTTAACTTGTGAATTTATAACCACTTGGGCGTTCCCACATTACATACCAGTTTTTTAATGCTGCATTCTTTCCCGAGTTAATTAAATCATCACTTGTTGAACTTTATTCTAAATTACTACTTGCTCGTCCAAGTTTAACTGGTTAGTCCTTGCTCGCTCACATTCAAAATAAGTTACTCATCAATCACCCATTTCAATTTTATTCGTCCATGTAGACAAAATATCCACGTGGACAGATAGAAATCCTATGTTGCATTAACAGAGTTAAAACTGGACAGCACAGCTTCAATTCCGTCTTTCTTCATTCAAATTGGCAAGCTTTATGCAAATTAATTAATGGTTGAAACTTTCCATAGTAGAATTTCAGCAATTTAATTTTAGAAAACAGGTCTTTTAAAATCCAAAGTCAAGAAACTCGAATGAAGAGATAATTTTATCAAAAAAATCCAGAAAAGGGATGAGAATTCTCAGTACTAATCTTTTGGCTGAAGGAACAAAGGTAAATAAGCCAAAAGACACAAAATCGATTCCTCCAAGGCGGGCGTGGCTTCTTTTGAGTGTGCTCTCAAACATAAATGAAAAGGCTGAATCATTCATAAAAAGTAGGAAGCCATGGGCAGAAACTGGAGCTTTGAGCAAAAAAAGACAAAAAAATTTCATTCATTTTGGGCTTCATATACATGCACAATAGGTCATGTAAAATTAGCCAAAACCAAAAATCACATGAACTCGAAAGCCAATTCATTTATTAAGACTTGTATTTCATCTTAAAAAGTCAATCTTATTAAGAGAAGTAATATAAACCCTTATAAATTGGTTTATGTTTTAATCTTTATTCGAAGTAGAATTTTATTCCTTAACATACTTTCATAAGATAGTGGCTCGTTAGACAAATCGAATTACTCGTTGGAGTTTAATGGGCTCTCATATCATATTATGACTTGAAGTTCTATTTTAAGAGGTTAATCTTGTCGAAAAGAGTAATCCAAGCTTTCTAAGTTGGTCTATGCTTTCATTTTTAGTTAATGTGGAATTTTATTTCTTAACGCCATTCTAGTATCTCCAAAACCCAATCCATCCTACCATCTCCAAAAATCATGTGAACCCCAAAACCAAACCTATAATTGGATATATTAAAAATAACAAGTGGAGAAGTTTGGTAGAAGAATCTATAGTTCATATGAAATTTGGGGGAGTTCATTGTGAAAAGGCTCGTTGATTTGGGGTTCAAGCTTGGATGAAAATGGTTTGGGTCTTTTTTAGGAAGAAATGTTCAGTGATTGGACAATTTGGTTCAATGATTTGGGGAAGAATCAATTGGGCAACTTTGTATTTGAATTCGCGGAAGAATCGATTGGGCAAAGACGTGATTGTTTAATTAATTTATCCACATAGGATTTTCATTTGCCGCATGGATGGAATATTTATACGAGTGATGGATAAATAATTTATTTTAAATATGGATGAGCAATGAGTAACTTTTCAAAGTTGGGTGAGCAAGTAATAACGTAGGTAAAGTTCAGGTATCATCAACTCATTGTAATTTTTCATCTTAGGTTAACATAACTTAAAACCTAATTTATCATGTTCTCTCTTTCTTGTTTTTTCGGCTCTCCCATACAAGATGTCGCGGACGAAGTATGAAAATTTCGTGAACACGGTGATCAAGAATTGAAAACTGCAGATTAACAATCAAAGATCAATATTGAAGATAAATATCAAAATTAATTTACCTTCTTATTTTCTGCAATCACTCCAAAAATGAAGGAAACCAGGCCTAGAAAAGCCACTACCACACTCATCTGCCCTGGTGTAGAAGCCATCGTTAACCTCAGATGCTTCAACAAATATTTCCTTGTCTCCTCACCCCTGAAAATAATATCCAAATAACAAAAAATCAGAATTCATATCAAGCAAGAGGATGAAAGAAATTTCAGCCGACACAGAAGATCTTAATGCACGCAAGAAGAAATTTAAATTATTTGTTCGCTTCTCTTTACCAGTATTCAAGAATTTTTTTGTTGCATCAAATATAATTATAAACAGATGAATATGAGAATAAAACTAATCTACAAATTGACCTCTTCTTGACTCACTTTTCCTGGGTGCTGGAGAAGGAGAAAAGAAAATTGTTGAATGATTACAAATTCATAATTTAAGAAACTTATATAATGTAATATTGGTATGAATTTGGACATGTTTTTTTGGCTTAGATTCATAGATTATAGAATATTACTGTAATTAGACAGAGAGGGATGTGCTGTCAGTCAACAAGTTCACCAAAATGTGCATTGGTGTCTCCTTGTTTTTCTGCGAATTCTTGATTATGTTCCTCAATTAACTCGTCCACTAATCTTAGTAAAATATTTACCACAATTTTCTGCCAAAGTTTCATGTTGAATCCTTCTGGATTCTAGTACTTTTATTATAAATAAGAATATTTCTGAATCATGCTCCCCTTTGAACAAAATCCTCTCCTAAAAGACATATCGACCGAGAATACGTCGGGCCAAGCTTAAGTTACTTTTTTATAAAATAAGTATTGTTTGAAAAAAGAATGACTTTAAATATTGTGTTTGACAATAAATATAAGTTAGACCTACTTATAAGTACGCCTAACATGTTCAAAAATGAAAGCATTCAACTTTCTCCACATTTGAAGAAGATAATTATAGGTCGTTACCAAGAAAAATGTTTTTCTACAAACAACTTAAAGAAACGTCAATACAATTTAAAATTAATAAAATCTTCTCGCATTTAATCCTTCCTTACACGTCGTCGTCTGGCTTCCCTCCCTGATTTGAAATTCTACCATAACGGTTTCTTCTCTTCGTCTACATTGGCCACTATTTCAGTCCCCTTTCCTCTTCTTCATGACGATACGTAGTTCCATCGAAGAAAAGAAAAGGAACCTCTGAAAGCAGGGCCGGCCCTGGCCCAAGGCAACCTAGGCCATTGCCTTGGGGCCTAAATTCTTGAGCGGCCTCAAAAAATTAAAAATCTAGAAAAATTCAAAAAAAAAAAAAATTCATTTCTTTTTGAGTTGTGTTATTTATTTCATTTAAAAGACATAACTAAATAACATGATGGACTAAATAAGAAACCTAAAACACTTGAACACTTACACCCTTAATGAGCTAATTTTTTTTTTTAAAAAAAGGAAGATTACATAAATAAGATATTTAGTTTTACCAATTTCAAATTTAAGATATTATATTAAAATTTAAAATTTCAGAGTTTTTTAAATTTTATTTATAAATAAATAAATTAAACATATATTTTAATAATTTAATATATTAAGGTCACAATTTCATATAATTTGGTCACAAATTCTATATAATTCACTACGCCAAAAAAGGGTATTTGCAACATATAAAAGGCAACACTCATTAGTTAAATGTTGCTAAATGGGTCTACCGCAACATTTGAATAATTAATATTAAAATTTAAAATTTCAGAGTTTTTTAAATTTTATTTATAAATAAATAAATTAAACATATATTTTAATAATTTAATATATTAAGGTCACAATTTCATATAATTTGGTCACAAATTCTATATAATTCACTACGCCAAAAAAGGGTATTTGCAACATATAAAAGGCAACACTCATTAGTTAAATGTTGCTAAATGGGTCTACCGCAACATTTGAATAAGTGAATGTTGCCGTTGGTTGACATAATTGAGCTTTGGCAACATTTTTTAAATAGATGTTGCAAATGTCGTCTTTCGCAACGTTTATTTAATATAGGCTTTTGCAGCGTTCAATAAACGTTGCAAAAAGTTGCAAAAAGTAACTTTTTGCAACATTTATTAAACTTTGCAAAAAGTTTGTTTTTCGCAACGTTGAATAAACGTTGCGAAAGAGTTGGAAAAATGACAATTAATATCACTCAAATTGGGAGACCCAACAAAAAATAGGAAAACCTAGATAGACT